GCCTCTATTGTACCGCTAGATTTCTGACTTCCGCAAGCGGTCCTATTCGTAATCACAAATCATTTTTATTATTAGTAATTTTGTAAAAAAAAGTGAAGATAATCATGAAAATAGAAAATGAAGCATGACGTAACGATAAAACACCACTATGCAAATGCACCTCAGAAAGTCACATAAGACTCATTTTAAGATGTTTTCTGTTCTTTGAGTAGAGGAAAATTTTGGCAGAGAGAGTCAATATGAACATATCACGACCACCATTCCACTTTTAAAGCCTAATCTTGGACGAATAACACTTTTATTTGCCCGCGTAAAAGATAAATCATCAGTGTTCACAGAATTGACTTAATTGCGTTTGTACATGTCATTTTATGACGTCATGATTGTTTTTTTGAAGTACAAAAACAAAATCGGTTTCCCAGTTATCTTACGTACGTAATTTCAACGTCAATTGAGCGTCACCGCTGTGTATTTCAAGTCCATGCAAGATCTCATAATGCTTAGTTCATATTTTACCTCTGAAAAGGCAAAACACTGCATTCGTTCAATTAAACATCGAAACAAATAAGATTAAATCACAAGTGCTCCTTCTAAAATGGCCCTGTAACGCAAAGAGAAATGTAGTTTCCAGTGTTTCGAATACATTTATTTAAAGGTATTCTTAGGTGTAGAACTCCAAGGTAAGCGTGATGGCTGGTAGGTACTCTAAATATTTCGACGGCAACTGCAAAATATTTTTGCATGACAGAATTCTACATGCAGTCCCTTTTGAAAATGATGAATCTTTGGAATGACATGACACAGAATGAAATAAATTACATCCAAAATCAGTCTGAAAGCTTTGATCTGTTTAAAACTCAATCAGAATTACCTGATTCAGATGGACGTGTGAAACAAAAGTACAGGTAGTGATGTCGTGCATTTCTTTAAGAAGAATACTTAACGTACCTTAAGCAGTAACACGGATTAAAAATCTATTTAGTCACACGGTGTTAATTAGAAGATTAAAATCGAAATTTCATAATGGATACTGATAAAATGCCCTTTTTATTCTGTGCATTTCTTTTAAAAATAGAGCACTTACAAAAAGTTTGTTTTCAGTCAAGTCCGTGGAATATAGTGTCACGTGCATTTCCTCAAATTTGAAAAAAAAAGGAAGCGTGTCTGCACTTAAACTATTTCATACCATGACGAACAGCTGGCTCAAAAGACATGTTTTTTTTCACACAAATTAGTACAAATTTATCAATCTATTGCTGTATACAAGTAAAAAAATTGTCAACCAAGATACTGTCTACAGGAAATTTAAGGTCGTGTTGAGTGCAAAGCGCCCTCTAGTAGAATGACAGTGGGTGTCTCCCAGACTAAATGCACTTCAAAACGAACATTAAATAAAATTATTTTTTCAAACTATGAAATGGCTCACTCCAAAAGAATTAAAAATTGGTTTACTGACAACAATCAAACAATATGGCTGCAAGACCCAATTTGATGTGACACAAAATCTAAAATTCGACCTTAGTGAAACATGATAAGTTTGACAATTTACTTTTTTCTACGTATTAAACAAAAATGGCAAATGTTCAAAAATCCTTTTAATTTTTGTTATATAATATACATACTTGAACTTCCATAAAAAAACATAATCTTTATCTACTCTTCCATGAATTTTGTTGTCATAAATGTACACAGAAATGCTGGGACACATACGTGTAGCCCATATATCAATGAAAAACCCGTTTCCTACAAAAAGCTGTAGAAAAATATGCACAGCAAAAATTCTACGCTTGAAAACTATACATATTATGCCAATAGAACACATGGTGTATATAGTATATAAATCAATTTCTCCATCAAAAAGTATGCCACTTTTAACATTAGATCACAGTTAAAGATTTATAAGGACTCTGTCCTCTTCTTCCACAAAAAGTTTGTGATGCCTAAAGCGCCCCCCTGAATGAACCTCACAAAGTTGTCCCCGCTGAGGGGCCCCATGGCAAACAACCCCGTCTCACAGTTACTCTGGAAAGTGTACTGATCCAGATCCAGGGGATTGTGCTTACAGTCGATACAACAGTTTGGCACCACACCTAGATCTCGGCCACTGTTGGGGAGGTAGGTCAGGTCTGGCTTTGAGCCAATCAGAACAACCGCGTAGGACACTTTGATCATCGGGGTGCACTTGTGCTTCGTGCCCTTGATGAGAACTTGGTTGTCCACACCAAACTGAAGAATGGAGTACTCTGCGTATGGCTTGTAGCACTCGTAGTCTTTCTTCTCGCCCTTCATCATTTGTAGTATTTTGTGGTACTCTGGGTAAAGTTTTGGTGGGAGCGAGTTGTATATCACAGATGGATCGTCTGGCTGCCGCCTGAACACATGCACGATTGGTATGGATGCATTCATGCAACACAAAATGGCATCCGCTGCAGTCAGACCAGAACCCACTATCATCACAGGGTCGGAATCTGGTCCAATGTCACCCGCGTTAAGTCTCTCCTCCAACTCTGGAAGGGAGTGTAGAACAAAAGGGTACTGCTCTCCTTCCACATGCAGTCTGTTAGGGAGGTCATATGATCCTGTCGCCAAGACAACGTGAGGTGCACGGTAACAGAATTCTTCAATCTCGACATTCTCGTTATCGTCTTCCTCCTTGAAGTGGAAACCCCGTACCTCCCACAGAGGGGACTTATTGCCCTCGGCATCAGTGGTCAGCTCCTCCACCTCTCCGTTCTCCATGTTGACCACTGTCTCTGTGTCCACCACTTTCCTGACCGAGGTGACTGTGGAATGGCTTTGGAAGTGGTCAGTCAGGCCATTAGAGTGGACGTAGTCCTGGTAGTAGTCTCTGAGGTCCGTCATACTGGCACGGTCAGTGGGGTAGTCACTGATGCCATTCTCCTCACTGTGAATGAACAGAACATGGGAATAACTGTTAAAGAAGTTTATTTAGAACTCTTTCAAGCAATTTTAAAGAGGGTTCTTTTTTCTGAAAAAGGAAACCTTTTCATAAGAAAAAGGGTGGTTTGTTCAAAACCCCTGAACTCCTGAACCCCCCCCCCCCCCTCCTCCGCGGCTATGGGCCTGGAACTTATTCGTCACAGTCAAAGGTTTACCAAAGTAGGCAAATGTCTAGAATTGCACAAGATGAATTTTTTCCTGATAGGGTTTGTCTTATGTTACAATAACTCAGCAGCACTTGGTTTGTATTGTCATTTTTCAACCCGTACCTTAATCACTGTTAACAGAACAAGTCAAAGATCTGTTTACTTTAAGATGGATGTCTTTTGCAAATTCCTCAATGTGAACATAATAAAAATAGTTTTTTTAATGCAAGACACTAATACATATTTAATTTTCTATTTATGCTTGAAATGACTGCAATTAATTCTAAATTATTGCATTATAAAACAAAAATAACTCTTCTGGTAGAACCTATAAATTGTGGAATATTAAGAGCCCCATCATATTTCTATGAATGACTCACTTTGTCTTTGCTGCCCTGTGTTTCTTGAGCCATTCTCTGAAAGGTTTCCCAGGTAGCTCCATCCAGTTGCCCAAACTCAGGGTCTGCATGTTCCCCTCCATCATCTGGAGCAGAACATGTCAATTTTCAGTGAAGGAAATTCTACAAGTACGTTAGCTATTACAACTGGCACATTGTTCAGTATTTACACAGTATTGCTCAGTATTAACTACATAATTAAGAGCTGCCAGTTCTTTTACTGTTTAAATCTGAGAGAGAGAGAGAGAGAGAGAGAGAGAGAGAGAGAGAGAGAGAGAGAGAGAGAGAGAGAGAGAGAGAGAGAGAGNTGTACCGCTAGATTTCTGACGTCCGCAAGCGGTCCTTTTCGTAATCACAAATCATTTTTATTATTAGTAATTTTGTTTTAAAAAAAGTGAAGATAATCATGAAAATAGAAAATGAAGCATGACGTAACGATAAAACACCACTATGCAAATGCACCTCAGAAAGTCACATAAGACTTATTTTAAGATGTTTTCTGTTCTTTGAGTAGAGGAAAATTTTGACAGAGAGAGTCAATATGAACATATCACGACCACCATTCCACTTTTAAAGCCAAATCTTGGACGAATAACACTTTTATTTGCCCGTGTAAAAGATATATCATCAGTGTTCACAGAATTGACTTAATTGCGTTTGTACTCGTCATTTTATGACGTCATGATTGTTTTTTTGAAGTACAAAAACAAAATCGGTTTCCCAGTTATCTTACGTACGTAATTTCAACGTCAATTGAGCGTTACCGCTGTGTATTTAAAGTCCATGCAAGCGATTGATCTCAAAATGCTTAGTTCACATTTTACCTTGAAAAGGCAAAACACTGTATTCGTTCAATGAAACATCGAATAAAATAAGATTAAATCACTAGTGTTCCTTCTAAAATGGCCCTGTAACGCAACGAGAAAATGTAGTTTCCAGTGTTTCGAAAACATTTATTTAAAGGTATTCTTAGGTGTAGAACTCCAAGGTAAGCGTGATGGCTGGTAGGTACTCTAAATATTTCGACGGCAACTGCAAAATATTTTTGCATGACAGAATTCTACATGCGGTCCCTTTTGAAAATGATGAATCTTTGGAATGACATGACACAGAATGAAATAAATTACATCCAAAATCTGTCTGAAAGCTTTGATCTGTTTAAAACTCAATCAGAATTACCTGATTCAGATGGACGTGTGAAACAAAAGTACAGGTAGTGATGTCGTGCATTTCTTTAAGAATACTTAACGTACTTTAAGCAGTAACACGGATTAAAAATCTATTTAGTCACACGGTGTTAATAAGATTAAAATCGAAATTTCATAATGAAATACTGATAAAATGCCCTTTTTATTCTGTGCATTTCTTTTAAAAATAGAGCACTTACAAAAAGTTTGTTTTCAGTCGAGTCTGTGGAATATTGTGTCACATTATGTGCATTTCCTCAAATTTGAAAAAAAAGGAAGCGTGTCTGCACTTAAACTATTTCATACCATGACGAACAGCTGGCTCAAAAGACACGTTTTTTTCACACAAATTAGTACAGATTTATCAATCTATTGCTGTATACAAGTAAAAAAAAATGTCAACCAAGATACTTTCTACATGAAATTTAAGGTCGTGTTGAGTGCAAAGCGCCCTCTAGTGGAATGACAGTGGGTGTTTCCCAGACTAAATGCACTTCAAAAGGAACATTAAATAAAATTATTCTTTCAAACTATGAAATGGTTCACTCCAAAAGAATTAAAAATTGGTTTACTGACAACAATCAAACAATATGGCTGCAAGACGATGTGACACAAAATCTAAAATTCGACCTTAGTGAAACATGATAAGTTTGACAATTTACTTTTTTCTGTGTATTAAACAAAAATGGCAAATGTTCAAAAATCCTTTTAATTTTGTTTTATGATAATATACATACTTGACTTCCATAAAAAACATAACCTTTATCTACTCTTCCATGAATTTTGTTGTCATAAATGTACACAGAAATGCTGGGACACATACGTGTAGCCCATATATCAATGAAAAACCCGTTTCCTACAAAAAGCTGTAGAAAAATATGCACAGCAAAAATTCTACGCTTGAAAACTATACATATTATGCCAATAGAACACATGGTGTATACAGTATATAAATCAATTTCTCCATCAAAAAGTATGACACTTTTAACATTAGATCACAGTTAAAGATTTATAAGGACTCTGTCCTCTTCTTCCACAAGAAGTTTGTGATGCCTAAAGCGCCCCCCTGGATGAACCTCACAAAGTTGTCCCCGCTGAGGGGCCCCATTGCAAACAACCCCGTTTCACAGTTACTCTGGAAAGTGTACGGATCCAGATCCAGGGGGTTGTGCTTACAGTCGATACAACAGTTTGGCACCACGCCTAGATCTCGGCCGCTGTTGGGGAGGTAGGTCAGGTCTGGCTTCGAGCCAATCAGAACAACCGCGTAGGACACTTTGATCATCGGGGTGCACTTGTGCTTCGTGCCCTTGATGAGGACTTGGTTGTCCACACCAAACTGAAGAATGGAGTACTCTGCGTATGGCTTGTAGCACTCGTAGTCTTTCTTCTCGCCCTTCATCATTTGTAGTATTTTGTGGTACTCTGGGTAAAGTTTTGGTGGGAGCGAGTTGTATATCACAGATGGATCGTCTGGCTGCCGCCTGAACACGTGCACGATTGGTATGGATGCATTCATGCAGCACAAAATGGCATCCGCTGCAGTCAGACCAGAACCGACTATCATCACAGGGTCGGAATCTGGTCCAATGTCGCCCGCGTTAAGTCTCTCCTCCAACTCTGGGAGGGAGTGTAGAACAAAAGGGTACTGCTCTCCCTCCACATGCAGTCTGTTAGGGAGATCATATGATCCTGTCGCCAAGACAACGTGAGGTGCTCTGTAACAGAATTCTTCAATCTCGACATTCTCATTATCGTCTTCCTCCTTGAAGTGGAAACCCCGTACCTCCCACAGAGGGGCCTTGTTGCCCTCGGCATCAGTGGTCATCAGCTCCTCCACCTCTCCGTTCTCCATGTTGACCACTGTCTCTGTGTCCACCACTTTCCTGACCGAGGTGACCGTGGAATGGCTTTGGAAGTGGTCAGTCAGGCCATTAGAGTGGACGTAGTCCTGGTAGTAGTCTCTGAGGTCTGTCATACTGGCACGGTCAGTAGGGTAGTCACTGATGCCATTCTCCTCACTGTAAATGAATAGAAGTTGGAAATAATTATTACAGCTGAAAGTTATGAAGTTATTATGTCTAGAATTGCACAAGATGAATTTTCCTGATAGGGTTTGTCTTATGTTACATTAACTCAGCAGTACCTAGTTTGTATTGTCATTTTTCAACCCGTATCTTAATCACTGTTAACAGAACAAGTCAAAGATCTGTTTACTTTAAGATGGATGTCTTTTGCAAATTCCTCAATGTGAACATAATAAAAATAACAAAAATAGTTTTTTTAATGCAAGACACTAATACATATTTAATTTTCTATTTATGCTTGAAATGACTGCAATTAATTCTAAATTATTGCATTATAAAACAAAAATAACTCTTCTGGTAGAACCTATAAATCATGGAATATTAAGAGCCCCATCATATTTCTATGAATGACTCACTTTGTCTTTGCTGCCCTGTGTTTCTTGAGCCATTCTCTGAAAGGTTTCCCAGGTAGCTCCATCCAGTTGCCCAAACTCAGGGTCTGCATGTTCCCCTCCATCATCTGGAGCAGAACATGTCAATTTTCAGTGAAGGAAATTCTACAAGTATGTTAGCTATTACAACTGGCACATTGTTCAGTATTTACACAGTATTACTCAGTATTAACTACATAATTAAGAGCTGCCAGTTCTTTTACTGTTTAAATCTGAGAGAGAGAGAGAGAGAGAGAGAGAGAGAGAGAGAGAGAGATTGAGATTTTATTCTGACCCCCAAAAAATTATGACAGAGACCAAAAGAGAGTAAGAGAGCTACCAGACCTGCCACGCCCCTCCAGGCAGTGTCTTCCCCAGTACCACATGTGGGATGTGTCTATTTTTATGCAGCTGCCATTTGAGCACAGAGGTATTGTTGAGTCCCGTATCAGCCCCTGGGTGGTTCAGACTGTCCAGTAACACAGCTACTGGGTTAGTACTCCGTCCTTCAATCCCATCAGACAGGCTCTCAAGTTCCTGAAAGATAAAATGAACCGAGATGAAGTATAGTATTTTAAAGTGAACCAAATACAAAAATAAATAAATAAAAATTTTAAAAAGAAGAAAAACAGAGAGAGAGAGAGAGAGAGAGAGAAAGAGAGAGGGAGAGAGAGAGAGAGACTGACTTTTTTGCACATCATAAAATGACTAGAATACCTGTCACACCAATGCAATGCTTAAACTGATCACACCTAACACACTCCAAGACTCACCTGTTCAACTAAGGACGCATCTCTCTTATCCTCTAATCTCATTTGTAAGTATTCACTGGACTGACCTGGGGGCAGTGGTTGACCATTGTAGTAAGGCCAATGTCCAGACAACATGTAGGACAGCGTGATACCAGATGGTCCATTTCCTAACATGGAAAAACAGTGTGAAAAAAAGGATAAATCACTGCCATGATTTCTTTCAAATCTTAATAAATGAAATATGAAAAAAACAACAACATTTTCTAAACATATCTCAATTGTAATTACATCTTGAAGTTAGTAAAAAAAGTAATTCCTGACTACATTATGTTTCTTTTTTTAACTTTCTTTTCTAAACGATAACTATATATCTCTAAAAACAGACCAAATTGGTATTTTACATTATTTTCTTTCAGTTTTTTTTATAGGAGAACAAAATATGGAAAATTTTCCCCAGCAAATGCCTTTGAACAGACAAGCAAAACTCTAGCATGACTACAAGCAAACTTCTAGCATGACTACAAGCATGACTTCTAATCCTAGCACTGTGAGATAAATGTGGTCAGAATGCTGTATGAGGTTTTCCAGCTTGTACAGAAAATGTATGATGCCATATGGTAAAAAAAAGTCTTGCCAACAGAAATGATGGCTATGTACTTATATCATCAGCAAAGTGATTATACAAGTGATGCTGCCACTCAGGCATTGACCATTTTCAGAAACATGAAAACTGAAAGGTTTTAGGGTCCATTCACAATGAATTTAACCACCTAGCTACTGTGCACTAACTCCAAATTCAGGGACTCTTGCTGAATGCAATCAAATTTATCAGATTTGCGATCAATTCATAAAAAGTTTCTATCCAAACTCATGATAATTAAAGATGCAAAGTAATACTTTTTTATTACCTAATATTATGATATTCTTTAATTATACTTTTATGCTTAAAAGCAGCAGAGAGAGCTAGTGAAAATGTACAGAGAATAATAATAATCATATAAATATATACTGGACTATCAGTTATCATGTTTCTGTTTTCTTACACCACATCCTCGTTCCACTGTTAATATGAAGACCATTTATCTGCATTTGTTAAAAAGCCACAATGATTTAGTGAAGTAATGTGCAGTCAGGTACATTTATAACAATGGCTATTACACCTGTCCATGATTAAGCTGTAATGGCTATCAGAAGCTGACGGAGGACTTGCGTCTTATCCAGGTACTTGGAGCCTACGTGGCTAGCTACTAGTCCTAGGCAACTGACTAACAGATTTAGCTTCAGGCTTGTAAAAATGTTGATTTTTATTGTTACTTGTCCAATTCAACTCGTGGAAATTTCAGCTGTTGCTTCAAATTAGTTTCAGATAATTTGTCCATATTTTTTTCACTTTTTTAGTAATTGACCATAATTCTCTTAACTTCCAAAACTCAGAAATATTGTGTAAATGTGTTTTGAAGACAGTTTGTTTTATCCCTTAATTAGCTTTAGTTAACTGTTACATGTATATTCCCTGACAATGTGCTTTCACGTCAGTGAAAAATGTAATTTTTGAGCAAAGGTTTTACTTTCGTTCTTTTAGCAAGGCGTTCCATATTGCTTTAAAAAAACAAACAGGCTAACTAAACTTTCGAAATACACGCGTATTCATCATCTGTAATCTGAGCCCAGGTTTCACAAAATCCATTACTGTACAAATTACATGTACTGTTACAAACCAAGAAAAGCCTGTGACTGAATGAAAAAATCAATAAACAAACAGTGGGTTAATTCAATACTTCATGGATTTGTGCTCCACAAACATAACCTAAATATATTAAGTTGGCCTTTAGATACCCTGGATTCTGTGGAGAGGAGGGATGACTTGCATTTTTTTTCTTTTTGAAAAGCTTTTGGGCTTAAAGTTTTTCTTGTTTACCATGAAAAGCTTGAACATGACATGCAATATTTACGAACCATATATTGTCAAATATCGATCATATCGATGGGCCACCCATATTTTTATCTAAAATTAACTCCCACAAGAAAAGAAAAACTGGAGAATGCAACTGGAAAGTACATAATTTAAATTTGAAGTAAGCTTAGTGCACAGTTCAACTGTATATAAAAAGGGGAGACTTATTTACAGATCAACCAACCCTTAACTCTTTCTTGTACTGAACTGGTTTTTGTTATATCATATTTCTCACTGCAAGGTAGTTCTGTGACATATCAGTCTCATTTTATCTCTCTCAATGTTTTCTTATTCACAACTCTCTCTCTCTCTTTCCTCCCCTTCCCACTATTACTTGCATAAACACACAAACAACCAATCCCAGACACATACACAAAAACATTTACTACGATACATAATTTTATTTCAATCTCCTGAGACTCAGTCTTCAACAGTACACATATTCATCCACTGATATAGTAATTAAAATCATAGCATTAGGCCAATGAAAGCCAATGTATTGATTGAAAACATTAAATACTGCATTCTTGGTATCAGTCTAGGCATACATTGTCTCCAAATGGACTGTGGAAATTCCATTGAAAACTATGGAAATATCCGCCCACCTTCTTGGAAGTGCCATTATTAACAATACAATGGTCCCCCTTCATGCATGAATACACAGACATTAAGTAAACACAAATAAATAATTCATTCCATCAATCAGAGTGAGTATTATGCCCAACATCTTTTATTTACAAGGTTCGACAACTCAATAATGGCTGGCATCTTAATTCATTGATAAAATCTTAAAAGCTTGTGGTTCTTATGTAATTTCCAGAACATGCTACAGTGTACAATTAAAAATTATAAGTGTGAAAAGCAACAGTAGAGCATTTTCGCATTTCTAATATATGCAGTAGATATACGAATGAAAATGTGTCATAAAATACAGTAAATTAAACCATAAAACGAGGCTTTCAAACACCAGTAAATTTCAGTGGGAAAGTTTACGTTGGGCACCCACTAAAAATATTTTGTTATCTATTTTTTATTTCTACTACATATGTAACTCTCACCAACTTGGACCGTCAGAAATCTAAGTTACAATTTTCAAAATTCTTTAGCTGCTCAAGAACATCTCTCAATTAGCACAATCAAAAGTATTTTCCTGCAAATTGCAACTGTACGTAGAATTTTCAATCATTAACAAGCAAAATGTGAAATTTTAATAACTTCCCCTATGTGCACATATGTATTAATAACCTTTTAATGAACTACTAAGTATGCCTTTTTTATCTTGATATAATCTTTAAAAAATTAGAGAAGAAATAAAAAAATTAAAAAATAAAAGACAACAAGTAATAATTTTAATAGTAATCAAATGACAGAGACCTAATATCAATAATATTAATAAATAAATAAAATAAAAAAATAAGCAAACATAAAAAAGAAGGAAAGCACATCACTTCAATAAAAGTGAAAGTGATAAAGAAATGCCTTACCTATTATAATCACCTCTGTCGTTTTCATCTCACTCTTCAGCGTTAAGGAATGTGAGTGAGTTCGCGCTGATGTGACATCGCTTATGAGTCTACGCGCCATGGTCCTGGTAAATAAGAAATATAAGTAGAAGCATTCAATTGGCTGAGGAGAAGGTTGCGCGACTCCCTATCAAACCTTGCCAGTGTAGACATAACTGCCTAGTCCAACATCATTCATGGTTATACAGTTACAGGTACTAGTGTCAAAGAGGACACAAAACAGGTGTGGGGTTTAAATTCCCCATACACAGGCCTTCTGAATGGATAACAAACATGACTGAAAGCTTCAATTCAACCGGAAAGGGTCAATGCTTTGGCTGTTGGTTAATAAATCTTAGATGTAAGTAAACTAAACACATTGGGGCCCCTGACATGGATAATAAATATGGACAGGTAATACAAAGTAATCACTGCATGAAAGGGGTCTCAAGAGCTAGACAAACAGCCCTTGTTCTGAATAGCAAATATCACAGTTGAGCAGAAATGCTGCCCCTGTCCAATGAAATGACAGTCTCCCTTGTTTGATTCCGTGCAATGTTATGTCGACGTTGAGTAAATAACAAACAGCTATTTATATGGCGAAGGCCAGTGTTCCCGTGTCCACTGCGTGCACTGGACAAATAGAAGACCCAGATAAAGGACACGCCCCTGTGACGGTCATATTCTACTGACCACATAAAAAGTAGAGTTTACTAGTATTATTGAATAGATAAATTGGTTACAAGAAGAATACTTGAAATTCTACTTGCATTAATTTTGTTCACATAATATTCTTCACTAATGACTTTTTTTTTAAAAGTTTTTTAAAGTTATATATACTTTGGTAAATAATTTGTAAATAAACAGATATTATTGAAAATGTTTGGAAGAAATAAAAACATTGAAAAAATGAGTAAAGACACCAAATTATTTAGCAGTAGCACAAGCCAATTCTTAACAATTTGTAAGTTAATAAAAAGTAAATTGTTTTTAAAGAGACTTCACGCATTTTCAACCTATACAGCATGTTGTTAATGGCGACCCTTCTTCAAAAGGCCTTCAGATCACATGCTCCACCTGGCAATGTGGACATCATCACTTCACTACTTTTTCTTTTCTTAATTGCCATCATAAGACAAGAAACAATGATTAACCTTTTTTTAACTATTAAGTTATCATAAGTTTATAAGGCAACTATTAACCTAAAACTTAGAAGAAAATTGAAAAAAAAAAAAAAACAATTAATTTATAAGAATCTTTTCATACACTCACAAAATTGTATATATATACTTTTAACTTTTTAGATAATCAAAATATAAGAGAAAAAGTCACACAAAATATACTTACATGTACTTTTTAAATCAGCAGACTGACCAAGACAACAGTTCTCAGGTGATTCACCAGTTACTAGTCCTCTCCTTAGCGCATCCACCTTATCTCGTTAACTCTACCACCACCTTTGACCCAACAGTGGTCATTCCACACGGAAGGTCAGCAGACACGTGCTCTTAATCTGCAGGCCACTTACAGTGACCCTACCGTGGTGAGTCAGGACAACAGGACAAGACAGGACAGAATTAATGGGCACCTGTTTATAGCAAGTTCCAGTTTGTATTCTCTGGTCTACTGCCCTTGACCCGAATGTGGTCACACAACACAAGACCAGACAGATGAAGCAAGCACCTGCTGGATGTCACTTCAAGAGTCAATTGCTTTATTCCATGAAGCAGGTGCATTAACACAAACAGCCACTGAATGCATTCACTATCTCTATCTTCTGGCTTGACTCATAGCAAACAGAAAACTTTCGGAATTAGAATGTTATTTCAGCCTTGTACCTGTATTTTCCTTGATTAACATTGTCGTTGTGCACTATTGACGACAACTACACTGCTTAACACCTCTAGGGTCCTCGACTTTGCCATTGGTAGTAGAATTATCATTTTTTTCCATTCATTGTGATGAAATGCCAGTCACGCATGTATTGAAATGCAAACAAGTAAACTGGCATGCATGAATTGTTCACGTGTAACAGTGTATGATGAAGTGCAAGCCGGCCGGCCTTGTTGACACATTCTTCAATCCTCCCTGCTGCTAGTACCCTGGGTAATTCTTACACCCCGGCAACAGTATATGCTCACATAGTATTACAGCATAAGTACAGCTAGCTCCTGTCAGGTTCAACTGTTTTCGAGTACTGTTACAGTCTCCTGTTTCCTGAGAATATATGTCCTGCCTATCACAGCAGACTATGACACTGAAAAAGCCCCCGTATAGCCATTGAACTGGCTCTGGAAACTGAATCTTTCACCCATGCATGGTGATTGATTTTTTGTGTTTAATATTGATTCAGACTTGAGCTTTGCGTAATTATAGGACCTGCTGCAGAAATTCCTGTTGACTTCCCCGTGTGCTGCTATATATAGGTCGTGGACTGTTCTCTTTATTTACATATATCTATATAGCCACAGCTTTCCTTGTTGTCTGGAATAAATGAAACAATAAGAATTTTTGCACATTAAATATACATGTATAGCATCAATACAGTCAGGAATTAACAACCCCCTTCACGTGAGGCAACACGAATCCCTTCATAAAAAAAAGATTGATGTACCAACAAAATGGAGGCATTAGTCAGACATGTGTGAATATACAAGTACAGGTGCCTTATAATGTAGTAATATTACTTTACTTAAAAAACATAACTACAGCTTATTTCTCCTTTTTGTAAGAACAGATTTTTGAAAGAGAATATAAAGTTCTTAAAATAAAAAAGTACAAAAATGAAAAAAGAAGAAAAATAAAAGAAAAAAATTGGATGCCATTGATTATATCCAGCTCTTCGCTCAAGGCTCGCCACCACTAGTTTAATACTTAGGGGCTGTTTCAAAAAGTGAGTCTTAAACAGAAAACTAACCAACTAAAATACCATGTCTCATTTAATCAGGCTGTTATCATAGTCAGTATATTTTTGTCGTTGTATCAACTTAACTGGATAACAGCTGATTTATCTTTGATTAATTTAGTAGACAATTTTTTTATTCTAAAGGTTTACACCTATTAGGGTAATTTGTCTGGTAGACGAATTTTTGAAGTGGATTTCGTTTTTGAAACAGGCCCCAGAGTGCTGCTTTACCTTAGCCAGGCAAGTCTGAATAAATCATGGTCATGTATTTTTTCACAATTTCATGATGCCAAATCTTACATTGAGGTGTAATCTTTTTGTTAGATGAGTGTTCAAGACAGCAAGAGCCTGTGTTCATGGTTGGATGCATGTGTGTGTGTGTGTATGTGTGTGTGTGTGTGTGAGTGAGTGAGAGAGAGAAAGAGAGAGAGACCAACTTGGATGAAAATCAACACACTAAACTACATGTACAATGTCAATTATGCTAAATTTTATGCTAATATTTCTCCAATAATCACATAAAAGATGCTACAGAAACATCAACAGAATATCAATCATATCTATATTACCATGCCAACCTAAAAGAGGAGCCCTAGTTTGTTTTCATGCAGACTGTCATGGATACTGGCATAATATGTGACAGCACACTTAACGCACTGTACACGTAAATAGTTGAACTGTTATCACATAACGAGATAGAAGAACATACACATGCACCATAAAATCTGACTCTTAATAGCACTGGGATGACCTTATGAATTTAACCTCTTCAACTGAATGAAGTAGGAAAAAAACTCTTAAAGGCACAATCCATGAGATTCACCCACCAAAACTAATTTTTTGGAGAAAATTAGCAATTTTCTTGTACTCATATCTATCACTCTAGATGCATTTGAATTTGACCTTGATAAAATTTATAAAGTTTGATTTCCGCTTAAAATGACTGGCCAGTTATTATAACATCAACCTTTTTATTCAAGCTCCAATGGGAATATAAATATATGAGGTACATGTACATTGCAGAAGAAATATTTCAAATTTAAGTCATTTTTAAAGTATATGTAAGATTTTATAAGAAGCTGTGGATGGCAAGAATAAGAATTTTGGTGATTTTCCAAAACGAAGAGTTATTATCCCTTTAAGGCCTTTCATCAAAGAGGTTGTTTTTACTATTTGCCAGTTAGATTAATAGCTGAAGTAAGTCCATACCCAGATAAAACAATCATAGAAAGGTTGAAAATACTGAATTAAATATATAAATAAAATTAAATATATAAATAAAATCCAGTTTTTTTTAAATTTATAACAGCAGGGTTTGTCATTAAGCAATTTTTTCTTCTAATTTGGTACAGCAACCAAACTTCCTGGCCTGTTTGTGTTCAGTAGCAACCCAGTGAAAAAAGGTAATGCCGAGCCCTGTAACAGATTCAGGCATTTCACCTAAATAAGTTGGATTATCTCTGACAAAGAATATTACAAAAGCATAATACTTTTACCCACTGCCTGATGGACCTTGAATTTGAAGGGCCACAAGATTGTAACCTTGAGATAAAAAGAAAAAAAGATCAAGGATTTTATATCACTTCATCAGTATAAACATCCTGTCCTGGACTCTAAACAAGTTACAGTATCCCTCCATACTAATAAACTTCAGTGCAGGGCAAAAATGAGGACAGCTTCCAGGGACACTCAGATAACCATGGCAAATAACAAGCTTGGGCTGATGTTTGGTCTACTTGCTGCATAAGATAAATATATACCTGTAGTACTAGTACGGTAGTCTACTTCAATAAAGTACTGTAAGCACTTGTCTGAAACATCAACGATGTATTTCTTATTGTAAGCAGGCACAACCTCTCTTTTTGGTGGACTGCTACTAATGATTAATCTAGACTAAAAAAAAAAAACTAAAAAAACTAAAAAAACTAAAATTCTGTCCATAAGTTTAGACAAATTTTATGGCCCAAGTAAATACTTTTTGTAGAACTGACCCCTACTAGTACTTGTGTACTGCTTTATCAAATTGTCCGTGTACAAATGCCAAATAAAGAAACAGGAATTATTTTTCTGTCTCGATGACCTCCAATCATCATCATCATTCATGCACTCACATTCTCTTTCAGTTCTATAAAGAGAATGCCAAAAAAAAACATGCAAAACCAGTTTTCCTGTGTACATCTTTCAGTGAGGTGAGAGGGAAAAGCTGGCAAGATATAACAGCTTTCAATATCAATTCTCTAGACTGTGACAAATTACATGCATACACATCTGAAAAAAACTACTAGTATTTATAAGAAAAAAGGAGAAAAACAAGTTAATAATATCCCCAAAATAAAGAAATTGAAAATAATAATACACTTTCGGTGCATAACCTTACTAGTATTTACCTAAAGCTTCTTTCCCAAACACCCACTCTTCAATTACATGTAGCTAGGACCCACTCATCATTTTAGTGGGTCGTTTACAAAAAGCAAAAAATAAAATAAAATAAATAAATAAAATAAATAAACATAAGAAAACAAGTTTCCATTTTAGATTTTAAAACCACTTTACAGTTCAACTGCTTCATAAACAATTAGTAGGACACATTCTGAGACTGGTTGATTATCTTGTTACAAACAACTAGGTTGTCAAACTGGTCCTCAAGTTGGAGTAGTACTGTATACACATGCAAATATGACCACTGAAGCAGTAAGTTCACACCAGGTAGGTGGAAATCCTGAGTTACCATACATAATCAGACCAATGCAAAAAGATCCAGGTGCTTTATGAAATGAGGACAATCGGTCTATGCAAAGACTCTTAACAAGGAAACTAAAATGTAGCTTATTTATCTCACTTTTTAGTCTTATCTGTATCTCGATCCATCTCTAGAGCAAATTATGATGGTCCTTAACACACACTTATACATGTACATGTTTTGTTCTCTCAGTGGTTACCAAAACACATTTACAAGTTAGGGTTCATTCCCAATAAAACTTTCTACACTGATCGATCCAACTCCACAGGGATTCTCGCTGAATGCAATCAGGTTAAAATACTAACATGCCTACTTCTGGCATTGAGTAGAATGCAGAGATCTGTTGATAATTATACAAATAGGCTGGAAACAAGAAGAGGTGTGTTAGTCTGATTGCATTCAGTGAGAACGTCAGTTTCATTGGGAGTGAACCCTTAGTATGGCATATATATTCATTAGGGCCAAATGTAAATGGTATGTATGCTCTTAAACCAATAGAGCCATTTTGTTGTTGCCAGCTATTCAAGTTCAGCACTCTAAGGGCGTATTCCCATAGATTTTAGATTGATCTATCCCCGTGTGGAGTCTCACTAGATTACTGTCAGATAATCTGGCTTCAATGTCCGTCCCGCCTACTACAAGCTGTAAGGGGGTAATTAACTTTCGTGCCCGCTCGGCTGACAGCTATTTAGCATGAACCCCCAGGAAGTTAGGTCGATCTAGTTTGGATCGATCTAATCTCTGGGAATGGGGTCTAAGCTAAAGCTGAGTCAAAACAGATGTTTTAAATGGTGCTTAAAAAGAATGCTTACTAGTACTAGTATACATGTACTGTCTTACACATTATTGTAATAGATATAGACTAATCTTTTTTTTACTGTACGTACTATAAATTCTTATGTAGGCAGATACATGTATAATGGCACTTTATCTCACTTGCATTAATGCATGCATTGCTGAACAGATGCTACTGAGGTGACACTTTGAACTGAAAATAAATAGTAGTAGAAATGGCATGTTAGTGAAACCAAAATGACTCTTTAACGCATATAATGGTATGCTAAGCAGGTCAATCAGTTCTTCATCTTTTTTTTTTGCCCTGCTTCATTTTTCTTTCTTTCTTTTCATTTTAAAAATTACTCATACACACATCACATGATCCTAATGTATGCAACCAGAATTTGAAGTGAAAATATTTCTTTCAAAAATTTCCTATTCCAACTTAACTTTGAATACATTTTCTATATGTGTTACTGAAATTCAGTCTGCAAAATCAAATTAATGAAAAAAGGTCCTAATTAATGCAATTAGACCTCATAAGTGATAGGCAAAATTTAAAACACTGATGTTAAACATTTTGGAAGCCCATGAATTACCAGCTAATATATACCCTATTCCCTATTGAATTAATTTAAAAGCCCTTAATTTGCATTTGTTGATGTCATTGAAAATAACAGTTTGCCTAAATAGCAGCCCTGTATAGGAGATATCTCGAGCAGCTGTAGATTATAAAGCCATTCATTACAAGTGAAGAGCATTTTATCTTCAATTGTAATTTTTGAACAATTAATTTAGCTTTAATGTCTCAATCAGACACCTTTTTTTTGGGACATTTTAAAGATATCTTCTGACAGAGTCATTGGCTATTTAGGATATATGATTTCAGGCAGCTTAATTACAAAAGCTGAGCTACTTGATCCTAGCTTTTATGGAGATGCATGGAAACAAGCTATACCCTCTACCAGGGTGGCAGATTATATAGTGAAAAAGGGACCAAAATGACTGTCTATTTATCTAGAGTCATATCTGTGAATATCTGTGAAAAATCAATCTGTCGCCCTGGTAGAGGGTAGAAACAAGCAATATCACGTACTGTACATCATGATATATATAATGGTCAAAACAGAAATTTAAAACTCAAAAATGGGTTGACAGATCATAAATTTTCAAGTCTTGGATAAGATATACCTCATTAATTGGTGAAAATTTCTTGATTACATGTACGTGAAAAATGATGGATTTTGCTATAAAAAGGCACATAAGGCACATAAACTGTAAGATAAGATAAGATAAGATAAGATAATATAAGATAAGAGTTTATTTAGCCAATTATAAAAATCGGAAATCATTTTCCTTTTGGAGCAATATACAGAGTAAAATAATAAAATAATACAATAAATAAATAAATTAAGAATTTAGCTTTGAGATCAAATTAAAATGCGTCACTGCACTTGGATAAAAGCTGTTTAAAAAGCGTTTACTGCTTTTAAAAATTAAAAGTCTACTGTTGCTTGGTAAAAACGTAAAAAGAGATGATGCAGGATGGAAAGAGTCTTTCATGGTGTTTACAATTCTTTTCTCCATTCAGTATGTNGGGGGGGGGGGGGTCTACTTTGTGATATGACACACTTGAAACATGGAAGTGTATCAGTCTCATCTGTTTGTGAAAGGAACAATAAAGAATTGAAATTGGGGTTGGATCACAGCTGTTATCACTCTAAAGAAAAAAAGACAAACATATCTTTATTTTTTTATTTCTTTCACACCCAGTTCTATTTAGGGTCTCAAATTCTTCAAATTACATAGCAAAATGATTGCAACATAATAAATGGTATTCAGTTCTGCTTGATAAGTTTTTCAGTATAAATTTCCCATTTTACAAGCCATTAAATATATTAATGATATATATTGTAATATTACATAACAGTAACTGTTTTCACCCAATGCTTTTATAAAAAGTATAATGTAGATTACATATATTTCATAGAGTCAGCTTATGTTCTACAGCAGTCATGGATGATCACATCCCATAATACTATGGTGACCTCCATATATCCCATAATTTAAGAAGTATTCACATCCCAGACCAGAACATATTAAATATCCACCACAGCATCATGCACACTTCATGACACTGTACAAAATGAGCAGTCAGAAATGTTTTGGATAATAATGGTAATATATTGTAAGAAGAAAGTCCGGAGCTGCTCTCTAGGCAGTCTTGGCTCTGATGGCGGCACGTTTTCCTGTGACGGCCTGGAAACCAGACTTAATGCTGGCGACAGAACACCTGGATCCGCAGGTCTCACACTGGAGGAAAAACAGACGCTCTTCTTTCTGTAACAGCGTATCTGGAGATCTACACGTGTGACAGGTCACATATTCCTCTGGAAATACAAAAAAAAAAATTGCACAATAAAACCAACACAATATAAAATGTTTGAGCTATGCCTATACAAATTTGTAATTTCACCCCATAAATTCCAGGGGCAAAATATTCCATTAAAACATATTTTCATATCATTTTCTGATCTTTTCCCAGCATACCAATGTCAATTTCATTTCTTACTTTCATTCATAAATTGTGTAGCTAAACAGATTTCTTAATGGACCTCCAAATTTTGTCAAGCACTTTTTAAAACAATAGCCATACCCGTTTCAGGTCCTGTGCAAAGTATCGAATTTCATTGTTTTTTTTCCGTAATTAATTCAATTCAAATGTTGTACACCAAACTGTTTAAATTTCATTTTATAATACCACAACTGTGTTTCATGAACTTACTAATTAAACAGTTAAGCTGTAATTCCACTTCCTTAAAGACATACATCATTAACAGTGTGGAACATTTTTATTTAGTTTTCAGATATCTGAAAAAAAAGTTTCCCAAATGCTTACTTATGTATCTCCTGAGTACGTTTTCTATCTGTTTCTGTTGAAATCTTCCTTTGATAATCAGTTGGTTTGTACCATCTAAGGAGCCACTGCAAAAAAATAACATCAATAAAAATTAATAAATATCAGGAAAAAGACTCTCCTCATTTCTGGAGCAGATATTTGTATGTTTCAGAGATGAGACTGCTATTTAGTGAGAAAGTCCAAACACATGGAGTGTGGTCCAGGGGGTCCCTTGCACCAATTCCAAAAAATGATATTTTTGACTCCAAAAATGTCAGAAATCCACTGATAATCTGAAAAATGTCACTACTGGTGATTACAGTCAACTTAGATTTAAACATCAGTTGTCAGCAGTGAATATAATGAAACCTTCATTCTTGGTTGAAAAATATGGATATATAGTTTCACTTCTTTGCTGCTATTCCACAATGAAATGGAGCTAATCTATAACCCGACAATCTACATCAACATAAACTATCATGAATTTAGAAAGGAAAAGAGAATACTAACAAAGGAGAAAAGTTTTGTTTACACTTTTTGAGCATTTTATTTTTACAGAAACCTGCAACTATTAAATAAGAATCTTTTCCACTTAAAAATGATAAGATTCAAATGCCATATTTACCTCGTTCCCAACTCTGCCAGGAGAAAGGCAAGTAAATGTTTGGGCTGTCTGTGTAACCTGCAAATAGGAACATTTATAAATGTCTGAGCAGCAAATTCCATCAAGCTTCCAAACAGTTATCATTTTGACTTGCACCAAGAATATTATTTTGAGCATTTTTGATTCCTTCTTCCTCAATTTTTTCCAATCAAAACAATGCTATGATTTAATGCTTCTTGGGATTTCCTGAGCATGCAGTTTGAGTTTTTCTATCATAAATGGTAGATGTCATTTTTAAAAATCCTGGGGCCGGTTTCACAAAGCAGTAGTTAGTTAGCGATCGGTAGTTAGCCTCTCGCTAGCTAGAGTGCCGTTTCACGAAGCAGTCGCTAGTTCTCTCGCTCGTTATTGTCTCGTTGTTGCCTTGGATATTTAACGACTGGTCAGACCAGTCGCTAACTCTAGAGTTTCATCATACGCATGCGTAATGAGTGAAATAAAAAGGTTGCTTAGTTACCGTTGTCTGTCGTTTGTCTTTGTATCCAATATGGCGGCTACTTTTCTTGCTATCCGTACCGCCAGACGGCAACGTAGACTACGACGTTTTCATGAAAGGNAGTGCCGTTTCACGAAGCAGTCGCTAGTTCTCTCGCTCGTTATTGTCTCGTTGTTGCCTTGGATATTTAACGACTGGTCAGACCAGTCGCTAACTCTAGAGTTTCATCGTACGCATGCGTAATGAGTGAAATAAAAAGGTTGCTTAGTTACCGTTGTCTGTCGTTTGTCTTTGTATCCAATATGGCGGCTACTTTTCTTGCTATCCGTACCGCCAGACGGCAACGTAGACTACGACGTTTTCATGAAAGGCAGAATCTATTAGAATATACACACGATGATGCAATTTACGAGAGGTTGCGCCTAGCTGTGACAAAAAGAGTGGCAAAAAGGTGGTGGAGATCCCTTACGACGACCTCAAAGCAGACGTTCTTATGCATTTCCAGCCACCAAAAAATGGAGAGTTAGTGCTTTCGTGACACTTTTACGCAAGAGTTCCACTTCCGGCAGACGGTTTCGAGACTACGGTGAGTAACGAGAGAACTAACGACCGAACTTTACGACTGAACTTAGCGATGAGTTAACGACTGCTTCGTGAAACACCCCTCGAAAATCGCTAAGTTTGCTCGTTAGCGAGGTAGTTCAGTAGTTAGTTGTTCTAACTAACTACTGCTTTGTGAAACCGGCCCCTGCAGATAAAATACAAGGACTGACACAGAGCAAAGACTTACATTTTACAAATATCTGCAAAATTGGAAAAAGAGCTTTTCTTGGTGCCAACCCTCATGACCTGTGGGGGCTTCATCACAATTTTCTTTTTTTCTCCGGCCACCATGTCAGGGTTCTTCTCTCTCATGATGTCAAACACTCGTGTGAGAAGCTGGAACAAATATTAAAATTTAGTGTGGTTAAGAAAAATCACTAATATTTTGTCATGACAATATGTAACCTATTTATCATTCCAACATGAAGCTAATTTCCAAACTGATCAGAATAATGTGCTTAACGTGTTAAATATTTAAACAGGTTCAGTTTCAAACATCAAAATTTTGGAACACCAAAACAAAATGAGATAAAGAAAATAAATCTAACATACTAAGCATTATGCATTTTATGGGATAGTGTTTCTTTAAAACTTTCAAACTATTTGAAATTTAATGAAAAATAAGACATTTCTTATAAATTACAGACAGTATCTTCAGCAGAAAATAAAACAATAATTTTTTAACTTAAATACCTCATCATATGTGTAATCTCTTTCTGAATCCAACCAAGTCTGTGAGCTGGAACTGGACACTGTCTTAGCTGGAAGACGAAAAGCGATGATCTGATCAATCCATATCAAAATTTCTGAAATTTCTCCCCAACATTACAAGTCAAATTTATCAGATATCTTACACAACAGAAACAGAATAATTAAACTGTCAAACATGACAATTCTATACTGAAAATTTCTGACCATTTTAACCACTTCATCCAAATAACCACTTCAGCAGAGATGTTGTTGCTTACACTTTGACTACCCTTTGAAAACCTTCTTAGAGTAAACAGAAATAGTTGTTAGAAAAATGGCAGGAAAAAGTTATTCATTTCTGTATAGCAGTCCCAGATTGCATCTTACAATTTTCACTCCACTGGTCTTTCTGACCAGCAGACCTAAAAAACATGGGCAGCCCAAATCAAACTTACCAAGTACAACAATGAAATCTTTAGATAACTTACAATATAATCTAAAATAGCCAATTAAAAAATCCACTAGTTAGATTGGGCAAGTAGTTTTTAACTAGTCCAATGCAAAATCTGCTAATTACTGCGGCTATTGCTACAGATTGCTGAACTGACCACTGTCTTCTCCAGCGTCCACTGTGTCCTCTGAACCAAGGTCATCCATGTTGATCTTCACCTTCTTCTTTTTCTTCTTCTTTGTGCTAAGAAGGTCAAAGTCATCCCCAAAGTCATCATTGTCTGCCAGGTTTGAACTTTCCTGTTTACTGCCATCTTCGTCTTTGTCTTCATTTTCCTAAAAATGAGATAATAACATGAATAAGACAAACAGTTGTTTATTCTAAATATTCCACAATTGTGACTCACAAAGACATAATGATACTGCATTATAAATCGGCACACAATGTTATCTTCATGTTCAAAGTTTCAAAGGTCTATGACCTTATGACAACCCTAATAGTTGTACTGTTTTTACAGTACTTGCATCATCTTCAAAACTTAATATCTCTATTGTTTAACTATTTCAGCAAGGGTCGGCAAAAAGCTGCAAACGAACTACTGGATTTGAAAACCTCCGATACCTAAATATCATACCCAAATCACAATGAGACAGTAACTGACACAGAAAACTTGTTTTATTTACGTCTTTAGAATAAGCTCGAAATAATAAAATTTTAAAAATAATAGTTGACAGAGTACACAATATAAGCAAATATACCGTTAAAAGTAGACGGAGGCCATCAATGATAAGTTTGAACTTTTGGTACTTTGAAGTGATGATGATGATTATGATGAAAATGTTACTGATCTCCTAAAACTTACTGGTAGAGCCTCGCTCAACTCATCCATATCTAAAGGTTTCTTCTTCTTTTTCTTCTTCTTTTTCATATTTGTGAAGTCGTCCAAATTCAGATCTGCAAACACAAGAAATACATTTTAAAACGAGTATTCCAACAGCTTATTACAGGATGACATACTTTATTAGTCCAAGAGGGATGATGTAATAGTGAAGAGACTCTCTGAAAGACCCTCTTCCAGATGATTACATCAATTTAATAGTCATAATAAACGTAGAACAGTGTCACTCTCAGTTTCTATCTGTGGGGGGCAATGCAACTTTTTTTTTATTAAAAGCTTGTCACAACTTTTGATAGCAATGACATGCATGCATTAGATATAACCTCAATTTGAAATATTTAAGATGTGAGAAAAAATCACCACAATTGGGTGTCACATGTGTTATTTAGTATATGTATAACATATATTAAATACCTTCATCATCTACAGCCTCCTTTTCCTCCGTTTCTTCCTCCTCTTTGGTTTCTTCTTCTGGTGCAGGTTCTGCCGTCTCCCCACTCATGGCAGCCTCCATATCAAACGGAGTCTTCTTCTTTTTCTTCTTCTTCTTCAGAGAAGGGTCAAATATCTGGAAATAGAAAAAAAAAAGTTTGATGTGATGACATTTCCGAGTTATAATGAAACCAAATTACAAATAATGTTGATGGAATGTTAATCAGACCACTCTAATGGGAATGGATCTCGATCAGTAGTCATGTTATTTATAATAGCAAAATTTTTATTATTAGTAAAGGACGAATGCTATTACAGATTTGCTTTCAATCACCGCATAAAAATTAAATAGTTTTAAAACTTTGCTATCATAACTATCAAATGTACTGCTAGTGGAAACAGAATTGGTTAGAGCAACAAGCTTGCTCTGGAATACTTTTGCCAAGAAAGGATTTGTAACTAATGTTGCTAACAACATTCAGCAAGAAACTTTATTTTAATATTGGTTTTGAAAGTAATTATAAACATTTGGCAATTAAGTGCCTCAGACTCCCTCAATTTATTTTAAGTTATTCACAGCAGAATCGGTAGAAGAAAACAGCTGGGACGCAGAAACACGGAACCGCTTTATTTCTAGCAAAAATGACTCGCCTAAGCATCGCAATAACAAAATATTGAATTTATTCGTCACATTAATTAACAAGGAGACATTCAAATAAAAAAAATCATGCAAGCTAGCAATACCGGTATAATTTTTAAAAGGCTTAAACGAAATCCCTGTATGCGTGTAACGTTTCACGTTGTACGTTCATTAATAATGGCAGCTGACATATTGCTGAAATGCGTAGAAAATGAAATCAATCTTACCGCTTCGTCTTCGGCCATTTTGGGCTAAAATTGCGTCAGAACACACCAGAACGGACACTTCTTCGTTTCCTACTCTCGTTTACAGGGAATACGTACTACTAATCGCCAATTTACTGCTAATTCATGACCATTTCTTGCATCAGACTCCTCACATGGAAAGCGACTAGATGCTACGGAGCAAATGAGTTAGTAGCTTGGATTGCACAAAAATGATGCAATGGAGATTACTTGACTTAGTAAATATGTAAATGTTTGTTTGTTAATAGTATTAATTATACTATAATTATGGTTTGTTTCTTTGTTTTGGATGCACAATTTATGTAAAAATAAAATATATACAGTTACATGACTTGGGCTTGTCTTGATTGTAATTTCTGGGAACTTTAAAATGGCTGACAACGCTGAAGATCTTGGCGACGTTCCTTTAATTGGAGAGCACTGTGAATTCCCGTCCTGTGGTCAATTAGGTTAGTTTGTGTTGTAGTGCTGCGTGTCGAGGGGACGTTGGCCTGTTGAACTTTTTCTGTTGTAACGTTCATGCTGCAGGGTTTGATTACTTTCATTTTGCTGCAACTCCCAGTTCAACGACAACGTTCTCAACACAAGCAGTAGCACGTGACGATAACAACACGTGTTGGTATCCCACTCAAAACTTCCGACTGTTCGCGGTTACAGACTCATAACAGAATTAGGAGAAATAAGTTGAATTTTACAAAGTCATATTTTTTATTGCTCTCCCATTTCTCACGAAATTTAATAACCTTTCACTTCCAGATTTCCTGTCATTTGAATGCACTAGCTGTTCCAAGAAGTTTTGGTATGCCAGTTTTTCCACAGTTATTTTAAGACTCAATAATAAAAAAAATGTAGATGCATACATTTTTCTAAAACTTATTCTGTAAAGAATAAGTTAACATTATCATTATTGTGTAAGCAATTAAATAACAACCAGGTAGCAACACATATTTTGATATCTTTTATTATTAGTAGTAGTATTTGTATCTTCTCAGACAGAAACAGTGAAAAAGAATTATAGGGATATGTAGAATATAAGAACTTACTACTCATGAAGAAAATAAAACATGGTTTGATCTTCCATGTTATTATTAAGTATTTGAAGATTTTTTTTTGTTTATTTATTGCCTTTGGTAACAGAAAAGGTGTGGCATTTTCCATTTTAATTGTATTTTTAGTAAGAACCATAAATCAGAAGATGCACATTCATGTACAAAGGTAAGTGACATAGTGGCTATTATATGTGGCTTATTTGTAACCACTGCTGGTGTGAATTTTCAGAAAGTAATGGTAATGTTGGTTATTTTTAGAAAAAACATTGTGTCTACTTTTTCATAACATCAGTGATAAACCTGACCAAATGTGACAAACTTGTGACTAAATTCCAAATCACTTAATATGCATTCTATAATACTTTTATATGCCACAGTTTAAGTTTTCATGGTCCTGTTAAGTAGGACATTTGAAGATATTTAAACAAAAAACAAGATACTATTGTCACAGCATACAGGGTGGTGCAATTATTAATGTTTAGAAACTTTACCTTTGCTTTTATCTAAAGATGTCTATTCTCTAATGTTACTTCAGTAAAAGGTGAACAAATAAGTGCAATTTTCTCTGGTCAGTCTTTTTTCCAGTACTAATCTTTGACAGTTGATGAAAAGTGTTTTTTGAATTGCCTAGTGTGGCCTGGTTTATTTGGCTTATTGCAACTCTTTGTTTTATGTGACATTTTGATTCCTTGCATAAATTTAATTTCAGTGTATATATTTCACCACTGAGTAACAATGCGACTCTCACCATGATACTCCTGTTCCAGTGCAATGTCAGTGTGTCTCACCCAGAGTATACTGGCCCTAGAGGTCACCACTGTACTGTCCAAGACTGTACCAATAGGGAGCTGACACCAATTGTCTGTCCACACTGTCACCTCAACTTCTGTCTCAGGTAAGCAGAGGTCACTGGTAATGAAAAACAGGAAGTATTGTTTGCCAACAAAATTAATACTAGATTTAGAAGTTTGGTAACATATTGGACTCAAATAGTCAGTTTTCACGATAGTGTGTCAAGAACTCCCAAGTATTGAGCTAATTGAAATCCCAGTGAAGTTAATCTAACAGCTGTGTCGCATAATAATTTAATTATATAGATGTGATAATGTAGTGATATTCTATAACATAATCGAGATACACCATGTGTCAGCAAGCTATATGTGATACAGGTCTGTGAAAGCATGCGTGGATTTCATACATACTTTGCTGAAACCATGGCAGATATGTAGAACAAGGACAGTAAGAGAGACTTGTCATGCAGAATTTTGTCATAGTCTTTAAGATAGAAATAAAAACTCACTGGACTTAAGAAATAGGACACATCCCAGCATGTTGACCAACACAGCATATCACTTCACTATTTTCAGGTTCATCTTTCTGTGTAGATCAATCCAACTCTTACTGAATGAAATCACATTGACAGTTTAATGGCCCTTGTTTCCAACGTACTTGTATAATCACCAGCTTTTCTTTATTCTACTTAACACCAGGAGAAGGCTTGTTAATCTGATTGTGTTTAGTGAGAGTCCATGTGGAGTTGGATCGATCCACCTAGAACAATAGTTTCATTGGGAATGAGCCCTTAAAACAAGTCCAAGCTAAGGCCAAGTCTCAGTGTGTTTCTCTTATGATAAACCCTGTTCCATGGGTTGATATTTCAGCCACAGACACCAAGTGGACCATGACTGTCCTGAGCTGAGACCACCATCACCTAAGATGGCCAAGACAGCTGAACATGTCAAACAGATAGTAGGTAGGGAGACAGAGTCTTTGTAATTTAATCTCCTTACTTTTCTTCCTTCAACATCTTTTTTTTTCAGTTGCATTTGCATTTGTACAAAAGTTGGTGAATTTCTTTTTAATTTCAATCCAAAATTTGCAATATATTAGTTATGAACCATCTGGTGGGGTTGTCACAAAGAAAGATATGCTTGAAGCAAAAGAGATTAGTATTATTATTATAAGTATTATCATGATCGACTTTTATTCATTTTAAGAGTCACAAAAATCAAAGCCTGTAAAGAAACAAGGCGCAAAGTCCAGGAAGACTGCTGCCAAAGTGGCCCTAATGAAAATGAAGATGAAAGCTGTTGGGGATAAAGGCATCCCAGAGACGGAGAAAGTGTATATACAGGTGCTCCTGCCACAGGGCAATGCAGAGAAAAACTGCCCTATGTATTTTTCAAAGGTGGGGGTTGTTGTGGTTAATGGAGAAATCTTCTGCATAAAATGGCACATGTAAATAATATGTCACTGTTGTAGATAGTTGAAAAGAGCATGTTTTTTGTAGTCATTTTGTGAGGCATATTGTTTGGTCTCAGGTCTGTATAAATTTACATAATGATGTGTACTTATGATTGTACTAATGATGGGGCTTACAAATTTTTATCAGATTTATGAATTGTTTCGGAGGGAAAGAGCTTGCTTATGGATTCCACCTGTGACAGTTTCACAAGCGGGCACCATTTGATCAGGCTCAGTTTTGTGCCTTCTTTTTGCATTGATAATGATTTTGTCATAGCTTATGGACTGGAATTTTCGTTTCAGAAGTGGACAATTGGAAGAATAGTAGACAAAATTGCAGAAATCGCTAAACTGAAAAATGACAATAACGTAGCTGTAGCAAAGGTTGGTGTAAATAAAGACCAACGTCACTGAAATAACAATTTTGGTAGCAATTGTGAACAGAGAATAGGACAGAGGTGGCTTCAGCAAATTATTATTATTTCTTTGGTCACATTGATCCAATACAATTTTGCTTTATTATTATTATTATTATTATTATTATTATTATTATGCCTGCACTCTAAAGACAAGTCTTTCAATTTTTTTTTTACTGCATTGCAAAATAATTATCAGTGCATCTATATGTTTCTTATATTAAACATTTTTGAATGTTATACATTGACATCTTATTGTAATATATACCTTGGCAGACGTTTCTTAACATGACTATTCAAGTTTGATAACTTGATTCAGTAGGCACAACCATTTTTATGTTACAGAAACTGAGACTGTTTGATGCTGAGGAAGGTGTCATACTGCCCATGGACGCTTCTCTGGACTCACTGATGGCTCCTGGTCATCCTGAACTGACCCCAGGGTTACCTGAGCTGTGCAGTGGGAGCAGCGTCATCATAGAATATGTGGACAATGATTGCAGTAAGTTAGAAGATGTGACACCGTACAGTATGACGTAAGGTTCCGTGGTTGCATGTAGGCTGGAAGATGTGATGTCCTAGCAATAGGGGGATTAAGCTGAAAATGTTTGTTACCTTGGTATTTGAAAATAATACCTTATTATAAGACACAAGTTGGAAAATGTTTTTACCTAGTGGTCAGTGAGTAACAACATGTACTCACATCAATCTGCTTTCCAGCTTGTGTCAAGTACCTGTGATTTACATTACAATACAGGAATTAGATGATAAGACATGATGTCAAGAAGACCTTTGTTTTAGTTGGAGGTCATGACAAGACAAGGCCAAGTATAGAAAAAGATGTGATGATGTCAACAAAATCAAACTAAATGTATTTATTTCCACAACCAAGATGTTAGTTTAGATTGCTGTTTTGTATGCTTGTAAAGGATCTTGCTCATGTCACAAAATTCATTTTGAGTTGGGTTTTTAGTGTATATGATTGTCAAATATATACCACCTCTCAGAGTATTCCCTGAACTTTGAAAATTATAGTAATTGTGCAACAGAATATTCCAATTTCTTCCAGACTATTTCAATCCAGGCAATGACCTTTTCAATTTGTATAAGCAGTTATGGACATGTGTATGTTATCAATATAATAATGTATCAATCCCCACTTCTCCTACAGTGGAAACATCCGGGAGGCAAGTAGAGTTTCCAGTTGCTTAAACTGCGCCTCGCTGGCTTCCTTCTTGGGGAGGAGCCCCACAGCCAGCACAAGTCCCATTCTTTTCAGAGCGGGCATCTCTTTGGGGTCTGGCCACGTGTCTGGATTGTAGAACACAGCTGTCCCCCCAGTGAGGGTGAACGGATAGGTGGAGTCTTTGTCAATTCTTGAAAGTTCATTTATTAGAAGAATGTGTTCCTTTTTAACAACATATGTGCCAATTGCACCATATGTGGGACACACGTTATTTTTACCAAAATTGCATATAACACTGTTTGTATCTAAAATAAAGTTATAGTTACCTTCTCTCAGACTAAGATTCTACCTAAAATTATCATTGCAACAAAAAGTTAGATGTTGAAGTCTTTGTCGCCAGTCTCTGTCTTTGTCACAGAAATGTGCTTTGGCTTGTGTATAATCAAATTGGGCAAAATATGATCCATTTATTGTTATTTTCATAATGTGCTCCAGTTGCACCTCACGTAATTGATTTCTGGTAATTATCCTGGGGATCATTATTTCCAACACTTTGCCCTTTATACTGCCTTGTGTTTTGAATTTCGCTCTCCATCTGGGATGCTGTTAATAAAAGACTAGCGTCATCATTAATGCTTTGAGAAATGCACGCAACAATCTCTGACACAGTTCCTGACGAAGTGTAGTGCCCACGCATGTTTTGCAGGGTGCACAAGTCCCCATATAAGTTAAAAGCCAGAATTTTGGAAGCTAAAAAATTTGCAAATTCGAAACTGTTTTGTCAATCCATCGTCACATGCTTTTTTAGTGTTGTTCATCACCTTTTTAAAGGTTTCTTTACCTTTATTGTCCTCTGTTGCAGCCTTGTGACTTTTGGAGATTATATGTCTCAGAAGTGAAGAAGGTTGATAATCGGGACGAGAGGTCTGGGTGTAGAAAATCTAAGATTCTCTCCATCTTGCATGGTATCATCTGCAGAAGTTACAGCATGCGCACTTTTCCCACTTACATTCTTAAAATTAAACAAAATTTCTGACTCACTTTCATTGTTGTTCTCCATCTTCTTTTCTTCTTTCTCCCACTTCTTTCCTTCTCTTCTTCTGTGTTGTAACAAATGGGTAGAATCGATATGAACAGCAATACATAAACAATACTCAACTGTAGAAATGTGCATCAACACAAGCAGGACAGGAACTTTTTATCTATATAAAGCTTTACATGCCAAATATGCCCAAGGTGGATCAAACCATGAAATTAGACATCAGATTTCTGGACTTCATAGATACACTGTACAACAGTTGATGACAGTTGCCATGCTTCCATATCTGTGGTAAGCAGGAGTGTAAAACGTCATCATCATCAACAACAGTCCCATTCTGCTCTAGGACTATGCTTCTGCCTTGTGACCTCCCAACAACTCACTTTTCTATACCTGAAAAGTTTGCATCCAAGGTTCACAGATTATAGCAGCCATATATTGTAATAGGTTTCCCTGGATGTGTTCTTTGCCAGTTGCTTTGAGCCTGTGAAAGTCTCTGTTTGAAAGGGCCAAACACCGAAATGTCCAATGGCTGCAATTGTTGAGAACAGTGAGGAGGAAATGATAGCATAATAATGCCATTTTCTTTGGCAAAATCAAGCCCGTGAACTGACAAATGTGAGTCATGATTGTCAAGGAGAAGCAGAACAGGTGCATCCTTTGATGGCTTAACATGTTTTACAAAATGCTGCAGAAACACAAAAACATTATCTGCTGTCATCCACCCTCTCTTCTTCCCCCATGGCCCCTGTTCACTTTTACGAAGTGAGTCTTTTTGCTTCCTGTATTTTTGTTTCGGGTTTTTTATTTTAATTCTACATGTATCACCATCCTTGTTGATGTTTTATTTCTGGAAAAAAGGAGAGAAGTAAAGGAGTGATATTCAGTAAATTACCTGAACATTTCTCACTTTGTGCAAGCCTAATAAATGTACTAGTAGGACTGCAAATTGAGCTTGTTGAAGCTGCCCCTTAGTTTGATATACTAATATTATTAGCTGTTTACTTCAGGGTGAATCATACCTGGACCTCTTTGTTTGTATGTTTGTTTGTTTGCCTCCATACGTGCACTTAACACTTCCTCTTTGTTGTCTGTGAAAAAAAAGGATATTAATTATAGCTTTTTAACTTATCAGATAAAGGTGTTGGTCAAGAGTTGGTATTAAGCTTGAAGTAATGAAAGAAAGTATCATGTATCAGTATCTCATTATTATTAAATTTGATGTAAAAGTTTATGATTTTTTAATGTCTCCAGCTGAGAGACAGCCCTCTTGACCAGATGCATGACCCTCTTCACACTCTTCTTTATCGGCTTTGAGTGATATGACTTAGGAGCCCATCGTCGAATCTGACAACAACCTATTTAACTGAAGAAAAAAATATGCATAAAGTTAGTTCGTCCACTCGGGCCTTGTCTTCTTCATGTTCTTGAATTGAATCAGCGTGGTCAACAAGAACACTCAGCATACTTGAGTACAAGTCAGATTTTCCCCGAATAATATTCAGCAACATTGATGTCGAATGTGTTATTCCTGCCCTCTGCCTCGGCTGCAAACCACAGCATTGAAAGAAGAAAATCGATTTCCTCATTCTGTGGCCTGGAGCCCATAGCAGCCAATGTAAAACGCCTGTCTTGTCTTCAGAAAACAAACAGTACATGCAGTATGGCAATGTATGGGTGCTGCCATGTTTGTTGTGATGACATCTTTGTTGTGATGAGTCTTGAAATAATCACGTGAGAACAAAAGTATAATATTGGATGCTGTTAATTATCTTGGCTCTCTGAACTTCTATCTTGGAATGATATTGTGAGATCTTGAAAGAATTTTTTTAAGTCTTGGCATGAAATAATCCGTCTTGATTTTTTTCCGGTTTGGTGTGCCATACTGGAGGCATAAAGTTAAGAGTAACCTCAGTGTGCATGCCCCTCTTAACTCACCAACAAAAATAATATAAAACATATCTGTTTTTGTTTAAGAGTAACCTCAGTGTGCATGCCACTCTTAACTCGCCAACAAAAATAATATAAAACATATCTGTTGTTGTTTTGACCTGAACAATTATCACAATGCACCCTTCTCCCCCAGACCAAATGTCTCAAAAAGTGATGCAAAAAACCAATAACAGCATTTGAACCTTTAGAGCAATTGACACTTTCATCGATCAGATAATTTACCTGTTGAGGCAGTGCCTCACAACAGATGACGTATGTGGCACATTTCCTTGGCGTTAAAAAATAAATTGGTCCTGGTTGTGCAGCATTGCTGGGATAATGCACCTGTTGGGCAAAATCGAAAGAATAATGTTTTGTAGAGGATCTCATTTTCCTCTGGTAGCCAGCGTCTTTTAGTCATTTATTTGGTGTCCTTGGGGCAAGTAGTATCTTCTTCACCAACATCACCCTCATCACTGTCATGAGAACTGTCAGTCTCTTTGTAATTTGGGAATTTGTAAAAACATTTCCCAGTTTGTAGTTTGTACATTCAGGTACGCAGCATTAGTCTCCAAGGTACGCCTTCTTCATTCACCCCAATCACTTTATTCCCTGTAGAAAATTATGGAAAAAATGATGATACAGCACACTATGTTTACAAGAAGAAAACAATAACCTGATGCTTTTTAAACAAAACTGGTGGGCTTTGTAAAATACATATGACATCGGTCGTCTAGCATACGGCTATGATCAGGGCATCAGTCTTTTTAAGCAAGAAGTGCAGTTTCTGGAAGGACTTAATGCTTGAATATTGCTGTGTCATGGGAGATAAACTGAATAAACTTGTATATGTATCTTGAATCACATCTCTCGGAATTCACTTGTTCAGGGTATAAATAAAACTGAAGAAGCTATAAATCTTTAAATCTGATTTATTTAGTAATGACTTTAAAAATAAACTTTTGACTTTACAAATATAATCAAACTAGTATGGCTAGATGAGTTTTTTTAATTATACATGTAGTGATCCTTTTCCATTTGAGAAAAGGAACATCCTCATGTGTTTTTTAAATTTATAAATTGAAAAAGAAACAAGTGCTATATTGCTATATTAGAAGTACATGTACATGTAGCTGCTGCAGAAATGAAAAGGTAAAAATTTACAGACAAGTATATCTAAGTACCGAAATAACAAATGAGACCAAATTTAAAGGAGAAAATTGGCAAGTCAGTGCAGTTTGCAAGTTATGCACAATATAGACTAGTTTTTTTTTTCAGACTGGAGACAGAATTAATACTGTATAGACTCGCCCTTCAAGAAATCGACGCCTTCAAAAAATCGACGAAAACCGGAAGTGCGTGTTTTTTGCACCGTTTTTCCTGTCATGCCCATCGTAAACACTGTGTTGTCAAGTAAAATGAAGCGTCTGATACAAAGTATCAAATGCGGCATTCACGTGCTTGCTTGCGATGCGTTCAGTACACTTTGTTTACACTGACAAGTCGAGGTCAGGAATGCACAATGTTTTTCTATGTAATTACGCAGTTTCAATTTTGATTAGTGAATTTTCTTTTATCTGCATGGTCATTTTCCGAACATTTGTATAAGCCACGAAATATTTCTCATCGGAAAATCACCCAGCAGCTTTCCAAGTACAAGCGAGTGACGTCATGATGCACTTCCGGTTTTCGTCGAGATCTTGAAGGGATTAGCGTTACGGTTTGCTGCACATTTAAAGCGTTCTGTCTCAAAACGTACTCAACTGCTTGGATTGAAATTTACAGAACTTATTCTTCACATGATATCACACATGTGCTTAATTTGAGAGCTTTAGCTGTTATATGTTTTCTACAGTGCCCATTCAAAATTGAAAAAGAACTATTTTCCGTCGATTTCTTGAGGGGCAAGTCTAAGCACCCAAATATGAAATGAGACCAAATTAATTTGAGAATGGGCAAGCCATGATATGATATCACTAGAGATTCACCAGTTTGGTTATACATGTAGTGTGTAATATTAAAGTAGATCATTTTCTGAATAGAGAAAATATAAGCACCCAAATATAAAATGAGACCACTCTAACTTGAGAATTGGCAAGTTGGGATGATATGATTCCACTAGATAATTCAGCAGTTTGCTTGTAATTAACGCAATGGACTACTCTGAAGTATCGAATAAAAGTACTGATGGAATAAAAGTACTGGGTGGAAAAAATCTCAAAATTTAATAAAAGTACTGGGTGG